TTCGCAATTCTGCAAAGACAACACGTGTGCACAGCTAGCTATCGGTTCAATATTTTAGTCACAGGTTTTCTCGACACACGTTTTATGTGGTCCCTATTGCGAATTTCAACCCATACCAATTTACAAATTCGCACTATTCACCTGATGATTTTCAGTATGGGAATGGCTTGTTTTCACCCTTTGGCTCGCAGATATTTTCCCATTTTTTCGCATCCGTTGCCGTTGGCGAGTGTTGTACAATGCATACAAATCAATAAGGTTTTGTACATTGAGCAAATTAAACAGAGAGTGAAGAAATGTCGCTAATAAAACTAGCTCCAGCTTCATGTCCACAAAGTTTTATTTGGTGCTCTTTTCACGCGTGAAATATTAAGAGTTGACAGTCTGGTTTCAAATATCATTTATGTCGCACAAGTGCGACCTCCATGACTCCCGTGTTGTAAATGTCGCGACATATTTGTAGGACAACTTATGACGCGACATAAAAAAACTAAGGCCTAAGTGCGACCCCTGCCTAAGAGGGAGCATTGGGGTTTGCGGTTTTGCGGTTTTGCGGTTTTGGCTATTATTTTAGATCGGTTTTTCGGTTTTTGTACCAAAATAACCTCGGTTTTTCGGCTTTGTTGTTTATTGCGTTTTACGGATTTTTTACGTTTTCAGCATTTGGTTTTCGGTTGTCGTCAGAATTTTGACGGGTACTCTGATTTGGTATCCGATGTGTTTTTTCGGTTTTTCATATTGGAGTTCCGTTTCCTCTTCGATCTGAGGAGCAGTCATACGCCTCTGCTGATCTCGAATAGCCGCGAAACCTATGTTGCTCCACTTGTAACCACAGTCATGATCAGATCGATTAGGATTTTGACAAATGAGATGTGCAAATTTATTGGTTTAGACGGGTTTGCATGCGGTTTTCGGTTTTGATCGAGTTTTTTTTTTTTTTCTTTTTTTTTGCGGTTTTGCGGTTTCTAATAGACCCCAGTGCTCCCTTCACATAGTGACAAAACTTGCGGCAGCAAATTGAACTCGTTACAAACGGCGAAATAAGAATTATGGTAGAGGGTAAAAAACCAGATCAGTATAATCTAGTTTTGACAAAATATATGTTTATACTAATTGCTTTCTAAGCTCATATTGGCGAGATACTTCAGTTCTCTTGGTATTGATAGTGTGGTGTAGCATCCAGATACCGTGTGGTTGATGTGATCCTCCCACCTAAGATGTCCACTGCTGTGAGCCCCACGCAGTTTATAAGATTTAGTGACGTTCTAGTTTATAACCACTGCCGATTTCGATGTTGGGATCGTACTCGTCAAGGTGCAACGTGATGTACTCTGGACATGGCTTTTGTCGATGTTAAAGGCGAGGGTACTCTCCTTCGACCAGACACTTAGTCTATTAATCGATTGGTATATAGTGTTTCTACAGTTATTTAGGTCTGATGTTTTGACATGATCGTATGTAGATTGTTGTGTCGTCCGTATACTGGAAGCATTTGACATTTTACGTTCTCCTGAAGATTTTAAGTCGCTACCTCAGACTTATGAGCGGGTCTCTTAATCAGAGTGGTCAGAGAATGTTGTTCAGTCACATGAGGTTAAAAACTGATCAAAGGGAAAAAAAAGTGTTAAACAATAACAATTGACGCTAGAAGCTAAGACACTTTATAAAACAGGATTTGATTAGAAAACTGGTCACATTAGGTAACTTTTCTACCTGAGCGATAGAACCAGAACAACAGAACGGCCTCCATGAAAAGCAGAATTTTTTATTCATTCCTTTTATTTGAATTGTTATTATCAAATTATTACCGTAGTTAAATAGATAGGTTTCTGGTATAGAATTAACTAAATCAACTGATGGAAAAAGTGTGTATAAATAAAGTTATCCTATCCTATCCTAACCCATCCTCGGAGACCCAGGGGCAGTGAGTCGATTTCAAGTTAAGGGCAGAAGAGCCCCTGGGGACATTGTCTTACCAGACTAGTTCCAAACGGTCGCAGTCGTTCTGGCATCTGATTGGTGACAGAAAATCTTTGTGTTTTTCTGCCCAATCAGAGTGAAGTGTCGTTTGGAGTCCTTTCGTGTGTATTAACACGCACATCTACAACAAGCTCTGTTGCTCGCTATGTTTGTCTCGGCCGTGCGACGAAGCTTTGCCCGAGGTGAAAAGTTTCAGTCTCAGCACACAATGTAAGAGAAATCGATCAGATTGTCCGCGAAATCTTACCGGAAATTATACTGAATACTTTCGCAGGTATCACAAGAGAACGTGTTCAAAAGTTTGCGAGGTTCGTATAAAACATAATGGTTGCAGGCATTGATATGTCGCTTTAAACGTTAGATGAGATGTAAGCTTAAAGCTTTTAAGATTTTTTGTACAATTTGTTGTGACTGAAACTTTTCCAATCCCGTGAAGCTATTTCGTCGCACGGGCCACGTAGGTATGTCAAGCAACTGGCGCTTATGCTTGCGTAGCTTTCTGTGCGCGCCAAACTCTAATCGTTGCCTTGTAGTAAAGTCTTTACAATATCGCCAAACTTGCAGATAACGTCAAGTACGTGGACGACCTTCAGCAAGCGCTTAAAGAAAGCTTAGCTGTGTTTCCGGTTATCTAATTAAAATCTGAACAAAAACTAATCATCGAGAACATCGTGGAAAGGAGATATGTTTTCGGACAGTTACCGAAGGGGTTTGGAGAAANTTAGCTAAAAAGAGGTGAAATGACAATGACCAAGGGACTAGAAGAGAATCCGTGGCCTTTCGAGCTCAAGAATTTGAACACTCAACGCAGCAGTTGAAAGATTAAACTTTCTCCAAACCCCTTCGGTAACTGTCCGAAAACATATCTCCTTTCCACGATGTTCTCGATGATTAGTTTTTGTTCAGATTTTAATTAGATAACCGGAAACACAGCTAAGCTTTCTTTAAGCGCTTGCTGAAGGTCGTCCACGTACTTGACGTTATCTGCAAGTTTGGCGATATTGTAAAGACTTTACTACAAGGCAACGATTAGAGTTTGGCGCGCACAGAAAGCTACGCAAGCATAAGCGCCAGTTGCTTGACATACCTACGTGGCTTCACGGGATTGGAAAAGTTTCAGTCACAACAAATTGTACAAAAAATCTTAAAAGCTTTAAGCTTACATCTCATCTAACGTTTAAAGCGACATATCAATGCCTGCAACCATTATGTTTTATACGAACCTCGCAAACTTTTGAACACGTTCTCTTGTGATACCTGCGAAAGTATTCGGTATAATTTCCGGTAAGATTTCGCGGACAATCTGATCGATTTCTCTTACATTGTGTGCTGAGACTGAAACTTTTCACCTCGGGCAAAGCTTCGTCGCACGGCCGAGACAAACATAGCGAGCAACAGAGCTTGTTGTAGATGTGCGTGTTAATACACACGAAAGGACTCCAAACGACACTTCACTCTGATTGGGCAGAAAAACACAAAGATTTTCTGGCACCAATCAGATGCCAGAACGACTGCGACCGTTTGGAACTAGTCTTGTAAGACAATGTCCCCAGGGGCTCTTCAGCCCTTAACTTGAAATCGACTCACTACCCCTGGGTCTCCGAGGATGATCCTAACCAAAACAAATTTTGGAAAAAAAAAAATTAAAAAAGTGAAAGATAACTAATTGGAAAAAAAAAAATAAAAAAGTCAAAGGTAACTAATGGTTTTTGAATTATCTACTACTGAGAATAAATTAACACGATATTCATATGTATGCAGATCCATATTACAGAGCGATATGAACTTATCGGTATCATTCAGGATGTATTCCGTATATAATTCCCACTTGAGAAACACTGTGTTATCAAGTAACATGTTTCATGTTTTATGGTCGTGTGGGAGCTGGCTGTCTGGTAGAAAAGTGGATATCTGTAGTGTATGAAGAAGGAGGGGGGCATAGGGGCCTCTGGGAAACCGCAAAACAGGAGAATAAAACCTCCAAAGCCGAAAGACCTACGAAAAAAGGCAGCGAAACCGAAAACTGCATGCAAACCTGACAAAACCGCTACATCTTCACCTTTAAATGGGGTCAAAAAGGAAAAACTGAAAACCGCATCAGAGTTTTCGTGAAAACCGAAAACCAAATGCAACTGAACACGTAAAATTCGCAAACCACTCTGAACATCAAAACCGAAAACCGAACCTTTTCGGCCGAAAAACCGAAAAACCGATATTTAAAAACAGTCAAAACCGCAAAACCGAAAATCCCAAAGCCCCCCTCAAGAAGACCAAGTAATACGTCAAACGGTCGCAAAAAATGCAGTTCAGGTCATTTACTATTTTACAATTTACATTAATGGTCGCAATAGAAAAGAGATTACTTTTGAAGCTAGAATTTTGGAATTTTTGCAATCTGACAAAAATAAAAAGTTTATCCAAACACCTGACTCGTGAAAGACAACAGCAATGGCTATGACTGGCACGCTCGAATGTACTTTACGGAAAGTTTTGAATACATTTTCAATACTAAGCTCTTAATTGTGTACCGGCCAAAAATACAAATAAAATAAAGTCTGATTTTGTGAGCTTCAAAAATGCATATGTGATGAAAAGCATGGTGGATATACATCAATATTTAAACACAGGATATTTGTAAGAGTATTATCAGTATCACGAGAAAAATGGTTTGGACTTAATGACAGAGGAGGTGCTAATCTCTAGGGAATCAAACAGTTTTTGGTCTTTAACACTCCAACCATAATTGGTAGAATGTGGAAATAATTGAACTCACAAAAAAAACTGATAAATCCGAACATATTTGATTTTCTCCTACTGAAATCATCAATTTAACACAAAAAAAAAAAAAAAAGAAAAGAAAGAAAGAAAAAAAAGAAAAGCTATGCCGGCGATCAAAAAACATTGAGTGAAACCGTGACTTGGATCTCTTAATGCTACCTAACTCAAAGTGGATTGAAATCAGCTTGGTATCAGTTCTTTTTTTTTTTTGGTAAAATGACGGAAGAACGGCTTCAGCAAGGAAACATCCAGCTGATTTTTAAGGCTGCAGTTTTGGATCCTGGCTCCTTATCACAAAGAAACCGGCAGCTCTATCATATCTCATTTTGCACAACACATGTTTTCTCTACCGCTTTTCCTGACAGTCTCAGATAAAAACAAAAAGGGGAGTAGGTTTTATTCAAAATATTCCTTGATCAAGATTCGACAACTCTGTGCGGATTGTTCTTAAAATAGCTTTTTCTTGGAAGATGCAGAAATTTAAAGCTGTGTTTTTATTTTTTGTCGCTACCGCGGTGTATACTTCTTCTATTGAAGCGTGGCATATGGGGAATAACCAAGTTGGCCAACCTAAAGGTAAGCCGTTATTTCCGTTTATTGCTTTCACTTTGGGAACGTATTTCTCATAAGGAGGGAAGTATTGACGTCGACTAGAAAGACAAAAACTGGCCAAAATGCCCGTGAAAACCGAACACCGAAACGGAAATTCTTTCAAACGGGAAGCTGCTGAAGACAAATGATATAAATATTGGTTGAATGATGGGGCCTTGAGGCAGACAAGCGAAGCAAGAATCTCAAAACTTAAAACGCTCTATATAATTTATAAACGAGGGGAAAATCGAAGCAACAACAACGAGAAAAGTCAGTGACTGATTGAATACCGATATTTTGAATATTTTTATAGAAACTGCGCGGTATAAATTTAAATTTAATAATAATTTTAATAATTTAATGATACTGAACACGAATACTAGCAGTTGAATTGTATTCTAATAATTCTAAGTCTGATTGGAAGAACTTGTAAAAGAGCGCCTAAGTTCGCTATTTAGCATAGCAGGCAACTGATAATTTCGTTCCCAGACCTTTACTTATACTCTCCCAACAACATGGCCGTGGGTGTCTGAGTGAGAGACTCTCTTTGCAAAACATGAAGACTGGGAACAAGTCTTTCGTGGACCTGGTAGGACCTGGTGACACTTTCTTTGTTCTCGATCATTAGGTGATGTCCCAAAAGGTTTTCGAGGATATAACCAGCCAAGAATGTCTGACGAGGACACAAGATTGAAAGCGAAGCGGCATCGCTATGAAGACTGGGACTCATATCCGTACGCGGAAGAAATACATAGTGACGACTAAGCTCAAGAAAGCAGAAGTAACCAAGTTATATTGCAGAATAGATTAATAACTAATCATTATAGGAAATAAACGATCGATTCTCGGTTCAAGAATAATCAGTGAACTCAAATATTTCATTTTTTTTGCAAGAACTGTGAAAGGAAATGCTCTTGAAGACAGGAGCATTCCCAAATCCCTGTTTATTAAGAGCTGTGCACAAAATAATTTTGAAACGAGATCTTAGAGAACTGAACTGACTAAAGCGTGAAATGTGCGGAGGTCGCCTTCCCTTTTTTAATTTTCAAGGTTTATGCGTTTACGTTGAACTTCGCATAGGGATCTGTGTAAACATTTATCACTATTTATTCAAAATAATCTTTTCTTTCTCGTAATTTGTTTTGTTTGTTCGTACCTTCTTTATCTGTTTGCTGTGGGAACAACTATCCTCGACGGGATGACAGGAAGTAAACCGTTCGTTGCTCATTTCCGGTTCCGGTTTGTTTAATGTATTCCTGTAGCTCTTTTCACGTAAAAAAAATGAACAAAAGGCATTAACGGTAAGCAGAAAAATAAAGAATTTGATAGTGGGATTTTTCTCCTGTTTAACGTGCTTTTCCTTTTGAACGCACAAATTTAAGATTTAATAAAGCAACACGACTTGAACTAACCGGAAGTTGCCGGTTGCGTGTGTCAAAGTGAGGCTCCGTGAGTTTATTTATATTTGACGTCTTAAGATCTTGAATTCTGAGCGCTATCGTCTGTAACCAACATTGAGGCAAGCTGTGATGGAGACGGGTCGCTAGTAGGGCCTACAAGTTTATTCTCGTCGGTGATCATGCCCCGCTCGTTCCTTGTGAAAAGACGAAAGAGCGCCGATGCAAAATCCACGCTCGATTCCGGTAAGATAGCGAGTCAACTTGATTATTTTCTCTCTAAATCCACACGTGTTCTCGAACGAAGATCTACAGTCGCAGTTCTTAGTCGGTCGATTGGGATAGTTCAAATGTCAACATGCCCTGTCGGCTTCTCAATTTTACTGTCCTCCCGGCAATACGATGTGAAATCACCAAAGGTTTGCAGATCTGGTGAGATTGTACTTCAAGAGAAGGGATTGCTTTAATTAATTCAAGTTTTTCCGACTTGCCTACGCTGTCATTATTTTCCTTTACTGGGGATATTTCATCACTGAAAGTACTAGACCATAGTTCTGTGATTTTCTTCCATGATTTTTCTCTCCTGAAAACGGAGATTTATATGGTTTTCTCAGCATTGAAATGGTTTTTCAGATCTTCGAAAAATCTTCAGGTCGGTGGTTTTCTTATTAGCACTTTTGGAAGTAACAGTAATTTTAATATACACACACCTGGGAGACGTTTGGCAGATGTTTTCAAAATGCGCTGGACCCGGTGGTTATTTTCTATTTGAAATCTCACAGCTACAATAAGAGAGTCGACATTGTGTAAAATTCGGCATTCTATTTTGGACGAAAAATAAAAGAAGAACTAGAGCCTTCGATCCCTAGAAATGATTGATCCCTAGCAACTTCAACGCGAAAGCAATGGAAATGTTGTTTTATGAATTTAGCCATAAATTAAAACGGTTCTGTAAACAGATGAAACCTTAATTTCACAGCTGTTCATGGAGAGATTGAATTGTGGCCCCATAAATAGTAACAAAAAGAAGGCGAGAAAAAGTAGTCCACAGAAAGACAGAATTTCCGAAATTGCTTACCGAAAAAGCGTCTAAATTTGTTTATAATCCGAGTGGGATTTTCGCGACAAGGAAAAAAATAACGCAGTAAGTAGCGCGGGAAATATTAAATAGACCATGCAGGGGGCTGTATGCCCGCGGCTCAGCTCGGAGCAACACTGCTATAAAGTGACATGTGTTTTCTAGCGGCAACAATCGAAAAAGGCTCAATTTTTAATAAAATGGGATGAAATTCGAGTGCAATAGTTTCGATATCAACGACGAACGCTGCGCAGTATCCTGGCACAAGCCTTGGACCACGGGGATTTTTCTAAAAAATATTTTACGGAAAAGAAAATAGAGATGAAATTCAGTCGTGGACAGTTCGGTACCGTGAATATGCGCCGCTGTGTGTACAGTATTTTTTTTCTGCTAGATTTGTTATGTGTTGAATAATAAACACAATTTTCAAGTTAACGTTGTTGAAATCAACGCTTTGAGACTTTTACCTCGTATTTATGATATGTTAATGTACCAGGGATAGACATTTAGGAACTTGCTAATGATGTTGGTAATGGAATAAAAGCAAATTTTCGTTTTCAAATGAAGAGGACATCGGAGAAATACGATTGAATGACAATGTTTTATTTGCTATGTTAATCTTAGTTTTCAATAGATGACATTTACTTGAAAATCTTGACTCAAAATCGTCCCAAACTTTCGAAGACCTGAATTGCAAAGGGTTTTACTGTATTTCGTGTGAAAACCCGTACAAGTTTGACCGGAAAACAAAGGCGTTTCTTTCTTCCAAGGAAAATTTAAATGCAAAATAAATAATTTTTGTTGGCAGTTGAAGATGTATTCTTATCGGAACAGATGTTCATGCTTAGGCTTTATTGAACAATAAAAATATTTTATTGAATCACTCAAAAAGCGGTTTTGTTTCTCATGTTTTATTTCATCCAATGACACATTGTGAAAAGACTTTCTCGTTGTTTTGGCTTAAAGAATATTCTAGTTTTGTAAAATTGTGGAAAGTCACCAATAAAGGGAAATTTTTACAAAGAAGGGCTAACATGTCAAGTTGTTTTCAATTTAAGAGCGAAAAGTCAAAGAAAAAAAATCACATTTTTCCTTCGCATCTGGGAAGGCAGGCTGCAACAACTGTGCTACTGGGAGACCATTCTTACTATGAATGTGTTCCTTTCTCTAATTCGTAGATTGTTTGAGCACACAAAGCTTCTTAAGTAGGCACAGTAAAACGATGCCATAACAGATGGAAAATCGATTTAACCGTGTGATCTCCGTTGCCGCATCGGTTGAAAAGGTGAACTGGGTCAGTGAAAACAGGCAATGATCAACAATGCTAAGAATTTCATGTTTTTTCGATAAGGAACTACAAACGAAAACAGCTGGGTTTTTATTCACATTTTAAATGGCTTTCTGGTATTGAGATGGGTTCTTTAAGCAACTAAATCTTTTGATTGCTGTTAGTTAACAAGTCGTTTACGCAGACAATTGGCCTCTAAAACCCAAACCAGCGCAGTATTCAAAGTAAAAGAACAATGGAGCACTGCCTCGTCCAGATGGTTCGTCTTATGGCTTACCCTGCCGGCGGTTTATTTCCATCTGGTATTCCAAAAAGCTGTTTTCATTACAGGAAATCTCGCTTGTGTTGAGTTGATTATTTGCAGGGATTTACTTAAGACTTTTGTTGTAAAGAGGATTTCAGATTTTTTCAAAAATTCATTTCTGTGCGCTTCTGACCGGCAGCAAGACGGGCAATCTATTTTTTTTTTTTTTAATATCTTTTCGGAGGATCAAGTAAGTTATTAATAACTTATGTTCAGATTTCATGCTCGAGAAATAAAAATTGTAGGAAAAGGTTAAATTTTGAAAACTACTCGCTGCAGACCCGGTGAAAGCGTTAGATTATCAGAATTACCTTCAATTGTAACTGTAGCCTCGTAAAAATACGAGACAGGCGATCGATATAAATCATCTCCGATAAGAGTAAATTTCTTTTGGGACCTTATCGTGTAGCTGTGGGTTGTTTGTACTGGGAGATTTGCATATGCTAAATTCAAAAGCAATTTCCGACCGCCTGCAAAGCAAAACATTTCTCGTCCTGTTCCGTTGAAGATGTTTAATTTTTTCTCTTTTGACCCGCAGCCAGATTAACAATCGATTAAAGAGGATTGCCGTCCATACCAGGGAAGTGAAAAGGAAAAGAGAGAAAATCTCTCAAAATTTTTTAAGGGACAGGTTGTTTCCTTCGTATTTTAATTAAATCCTCCATTGCCGTGGTCCTCCACCTGTTTGACATGTTCAAAGGAAAAAAAGAACGATTACGTATGTTTGAAAATACGCTTGTATCGCTCAATTTGCAATCTTCGTTTTCACTCCAGGCGACACAACTCCTGTTTCGCGCATCACAGTGATAACGGCACCAATTTGAAATTATCCTTTGGTTTGTAATGACGATAATCCAAATTAAACTGTCTTCTTACATTCAAGGTTTTATTTATTACAATCTATAGATTCAAAAACCAAAGGATGAATTGCAAAGGAGTCTTATACCCCATATATAAACAGATCACCTAAAAACATTACCAACAAAAAGTCTATTAAGTTATCAAAGATTAAATATTCGTTGTGTTTGATTTATCATCTTACGGGTTTATGTCGAATTGATATAATGGCCTACTCCCAGTTTGCTTGTTAGCTCACATTTTTGGTAGAGCGCTGCACTAGTATCGCAGAGGTCAGTGGTTCGAATCCCGTACAGGCCTGAATTTTTTCAGGTCTGATTTTCACTATTGCTTAAATAGTGCTTTACTGCTAGGATCTTGCACATATACATTAAAGAGAGTGAAAGAAACGATTTAAAAAGTTTGTGCAAGTAATCTCAAAGATTTGCCAAGATTCAGATAACTATTTGGTAGTCATTGCACTTTTCAGAAATTGGAGCTGTCGACAAGAGTAATGTTCACTTGTGTCAGGTTTCTTCTACTTTCTAGCGAGAAAGGAAGAGCGAAACTCGTAGAGAGGGGAAAATTGGAGAGATGTAGCAGGGCGCCACGTTCTCAACAACCACTGTTACACGTCGCCCTCTGCCTCTCCCCATCAAAGCAAGCCTTTTCAGGCACGCAATGCGTGCATAATGCAAATTCATTCCACAGCAAATTTTACAAGCCCTAGCGAATGATTCAAAGATGACGCATGGGGTAATCAGAGCTAAGATTAAATAGTAAAAAAAGAGATATTTAACATGGCAACAATCGAAGGATAGAAAGAATAAAAATAAAGTGAATTTAGAAGGGGACTTTTGCAGTTACTGAGACACTATTTAATTAAAAGAAATTTTCTCTGGGTTTTTATACACATCAGTTACACAATCATTTATCAATCCACTCTATTTTTACCTCCAGATGCAACTGAAAAAACTCAAGATCCTTCCAACAGCTCAGAAGAGAAACACAAGTTTGTGTCTCCCTGTCAGGCCTCGCAATTTCATCCACAAATATTTCCTTGCGGCATACTGGGAAGAAAACATCATTGGAATCACACAAATGCTGCATGCTTGCCAAACAGACCAAGAACTTTTCCAGAAACACCAGAGGCTTGGGTTGAATGTGCTTCCAAGTGTGTAAATACTCACTGTTGCAGGTATTTTCATAGAAAACTTGAAGAGCCTACTAGTTGTTTGTGCTGTTTGACATCCCAAAAATTTCTGTCTGATGTTACTCAACTACAAGTACCTCTATGGCATAGGAATATGAATTATGACAGCAGCTGTAATGGGATTTTCTCACATCATTTTGGTCCATTTAGCCCTAAACCATTGTCCTGTCCAGTGAACAGACTTGACGCTCATGCAAAAGAAGTAAATGATAAGGAAGATGACAATTTGACCTCATGTCATGTTGTCAACTGCAGTGCCATGTTTGGTGCAAGACTGGAGAAAAGCCCAAAATTTGTTAAGAAAGAAGAGGTGTTTCCAAATGCTGCTTTAAAGGATGATAAATATGAATTCAGTAATGACCTTCCAGCAAAGAAAATAAAACTGACATCTGTTGAAAATGATGACATGTTGATGAAGGAGGACAGTAAAGAAAATTTAAATCATGAATATGAAACTGAGGTAAATTCTACTACTGAAAAAACAAAGCCTGATGATTCACTTCTCAGAGAAAAAATTAAACAAGAGTCGCCAGGGCCAGAGAATATCACAGACAGCAATGTTGTACCCTCTCACAGAAAAACTAAAAAACATGAAGAGTCTAAACAAACCAGTCAAGGAAAAGATGAGTTGAACAACCACAAAAAGCAGGACAAAAATGCTGCTGAGATTAAAAGAAAAGCATCTATGCAGGAAACAAAAAAGACGCAACAGACAAAATCAAAGAAGGGATCTAGGGAAAGCAACATGAAGCCATACAACACAAGGGTGTTGACATCTCGTCGGCCGAGAACTTACAGCAATGATTTTCTTCTAGCTGAAGAAGAGGAGGACTGGCAGCAAGGAAACGAGGGTTATCAAATGAAGGGCAGGCAAAGGACAAAACTGAACAGGCTCTTGGCAAACGAACATGAGCGTAGGAGAGTTGCACAATTGAATAGTGCTTACCAAGATCTCAGACAGTTGATTCCAGGGTATCAATGTGACACAAAGCTTCCAAAGATAAAAATACTGAAATATGCAATCAATTACATTGCACATCTGGATGACATACTAGCAGACAACTTCACTAGAAGTTAAAATTAGAGGTAAATTAGTTTCAACCTATCTCTTTGTTTACAAATGGCTGCAAGTATTGTTGCCATGCAAACTTATTATGTTTATTGGATAAGCCTTTAGAGCGAAGAGTGATCAGCATCTAATTTCTCCTCACAATAATACTGCTGAATCATTCATTATGATCATGAGAATAAAGGAAATAATCACCAACATAAGAAGCTTTGATTGATAAACAAATTCTCCTTGTCAGTACCAGTGGAAATGTAATGAGATGAATGAGGAGAATATGGTTATAGATATCAGGGCTTTGGCCTAGCAGTGCCCGGTGGCCCCTGGCACCTTACTTTTGCTCTCGGGCAATTTGGGAATCTTAGTTTTTTCATATAAAGCATATGCTGGGCACCCTGGATTTCACAGTTTCAGAGCACTGGGCTCCCTTCAATTTTTCTCAGGGCACAGCCTTGGATATTATGGTGTAAAGGGTTAAAAATGCTTTACTTTCTGGCTGCTAAGTAACTTGAAAATCTTTTGCTGTTTATGTTTTGTACATCTATGTCGTTGATTGGCAAAAATACATCCTGCATAAAACAATTACTGCATAATATATTGCTGCAACAATTTTTTGCCTTATTTTGGTAACCAACTCTGCATGCAACTTTAGTGTCACTTGGCATTCTTTGTGCTTGAACTTGAAATAATTAAATACAGATTATTTACCATGTAGAGTATAACAGTAATATATCACCAAAATTGAAATAAAATTGGAAAAATATTGTTTTCCCTCTTATTATGTAATGTTCTGTCTTAAACAGACTTTTGAAACTTAGCTGTCAGCAGAATTTCAGTCCTCTTAAACCCAAAAAGTTATTTCTGCAATGCAAAAAAATTGACATCCTGCAAGATTGCAAGGATTAATAAGACTACATAGAAAAACATGCACCTTGTTAATTGTATCAAATGTACTGCAATATTCACTTCAATATCTTTCCCTTGTAGGATTGACTTGACAAACAAATGCTATTTCACTTAATTTAACCAATGCCAGCAGTATATGTTCAAACAACCAGGATATCAACAAACTAAAGGACAAAAATTGGTCTTTTCAAAACTAATTAGGTACATACAATATTTTGATATGATGTTGAAAATTAATTCTTCTTCAGTGATGATGATGATTTCATGAGTTTTGGTTTGATTCATTCACATTTAATGTTTTGTGATATTTTTTGATGAGCCGTCCATCATGAGGAATCAAATTTGGAATACCATTTTGTATTGAATACGCCACTCCAATGTCATCTGAAATTAGTTCATTTCTTGCACTGTCATACCTGGGTAAAAAATAACAAAAAACAAAGTAATTGTTAGTACTAAGAAATTAAATAAAAGTTCTTTTACTCACAAGTTCCTTGGAATTAAGTTTCTTAAATGTACCATTTAAGCCTACTGTTTTGACTGGTCAAATGATAAATTGTTGTGGGTTGATCTACAAAGTGCTTCACTTCCAGATCCTCTATCTGCCAACCAAGGGTTGGGAATCCTAAGTAATTGATTAACAGATGTAATAAACAAGACCACGACAATTTTTGGCTCAACATGGTTTTGATAATTCTTTGATTCAAATACAAGACACTTCTGTATCACACCAAAAAGTAGAAAATGCATCCAATTCACACCCATAATACAAGAAATAAATCTATGTTTTCTCTCCCTACAGTAAAAACGAATGGGGGAAAATCTAAGTCGGTTTATATGTTTTTTAATGAATGGAACTCTTTAAATGGATCACTGAATACAGTGGTAAATTTTAGGATTTTTAAGAAACAATATTTTAATAATATATAACCTCTTCTTTTTGTCCATTAATATTATAGTCAGTATTCATTAATTTATTTCATCTATCTTAATTCCATTCTTGTTAATGTATCTAGTTCTTGTACTTTGAATATTTTACAATTATTGTTGTAATTAACTTATTTTTATATGGAGGTCCCTCATGAAAACCACCCAAGGGTGATGTGGTTTCCTCCTTAAATAAAGTTTCCCTTCACTTCACTTCACTCCAATAATAAAATAACATGGTTACTTTTCCACTGGACATTCTGGAAAGAGTTCCATATAACCCCATACATTAATTATGCATCCATTTCATAAAGACTAAAATATAAAGGTTTCTTTGCAACGTACATTCTAAGTATAATTAAAGTATGGGGTTATATGGAACTCTTGCCGAGTTCACTTTCGCTGCTGCATCTTTTATCTTCTTGCACTCGTAATTCACTAAAAAAATATTGCGTGAAAGTCTGGCAAAATAGGTTCTTGAATTACGGGGAAGTTATTGGCAATAGTCCATTAATTTTACAGTTGTATGCTTGGTTGCCAAGCCTTTGAATGGGAGTGAGGCTAAGGGTGACCTTGTTATGATACAGACGTTGCTACTTTTCAAATGTAAATTACTTTGTTATCATGCTAAATAGATGCTGGTCTCTATCACAACAAGGTCACCTTCAGCCTCACTCCAAATCAACGGCTTAGCAACCAAGTGCAGAACTGCAAAATGGCCTATTAACGAAGAGTTGGTTTTTCATTGGATTTTGAATTTTTATGAGCTGTTTTCTCTTTAAGAAAAGATTATTTTTATTGGTAATTACAGTTTGTTATTTTTTTGTAATAGACATGCAAACTCAAAAGTCAAACTCCAAGGTAAAATGTTTATCGTAATTGAACTGCAGTTGACCCACATTAAGAGCCTCCTTGACCATTCTTGGCCAAAAGGGTTCATGTTTTTGTGGGTATTGAAATGGAAAATTCCTGTCCGCAGGTTCTTAAAGCTCTAGGTTCTTACAAGTGGATGTAGTTTAATTTTCCTGCACTTAAAACCTGAAAACATACCTCAATGGCTTCTTTGACAAGGGACAAACTAAGATCTTCAACAAATTTTGGTCGAATGGGCTATGCTCTTGATTTCTCCGTTGTCTCCCTACGCTGAAACAGCGACAAGCTGTGATGTGAATGAAAGAAACTGGTTTCTTTGAAATATTCTTGAAAGCGACTTTCCAAAGCGAAGCTCCCGCCATTTTGAACCACGCTTAGTAGCCACTCCTACAGATAAGGCTTGGATGCATAGCTAAATAGAGTTTTCAAAATGGCGGATCAACGAGTGTCATGTGGTCGAGATTTCTTCTGTGTTCCTGATCTTGCCGGAGCGTTGAAGAATGCTACGAACGGAGGGTAAGATAAGAAAAATCACAAATTATATAAGGCTTCATCATTCAGATAGTAAGACAAATAATTCAGCTTTTCAGACCAATCATACAGTCTTCGCACTGGTGTAGAAAATTATTATTGAGTAAAATTGTGGTACCCACTTGTTTGCGTACGAGGTTAAATTCTGATGAACAGAACGAGTTTCTTTTTAGTTGTCATTAAACCTATATTTGCTATTTCAGATTTGATTTCATCTGTGTTCCCATATGTCATCCAAGATACCGGAGAGAATTTCTGGACCCTGTACCAGATCGGACTGGGGCGTTTACACGATCAGATCTGGTACTGCCAAGTCAAGGTATGAAATTAAATTGGTCATTTTGCATTGTATCTCACCATTTCTTCTTTGGCTGAAGAATTGGTTTGCACTCTTGTTTTGGTACAATATGTTTTTGTCCATTGTCTCGCTGCATGCACTTGGCATGATCCCTGCATGTCTTACTCAGTGTAGATCAAAGGATGTACACAGTTACGACAGTTAAAGCAGCCTCTGCTCAAGGCCAGGGCCAAAATTCTTTTCTGACTACTTCCTTCCATCCCATCAACTTTACTTGTTGGTCATGTTCTCAAGGGGCACAGAAGATTTAAAAAATGGTTCATTGGTGGATTCGAATAAGTAAAGATTTGCTAAAACATTGTACAATAAAAATCTGCGATAAAGTGTTGGAAAACATTACATGATATTTTGACATTTCCAGAACGTCATTATCAAGTGAGAATGAAATAACAAAACTAAAGATATATATAGATGAGAAAATGAATAAATTGAGAGTCAAACAAAGAGCTTAGCCTTAAGGGAGTCACTCTGGGTGTTTAACTTACTCAATGAGAGCCAATTTCGGGTGCTTAAAAAAATGCAGCATGAAATGGGATTACCTGGTCAACGAAATGTTGTACATAAGAACAATAAGACCTAATTTAAACACCCAGATTGACTCCATTAAGGCTAAGCTCTTTGTTTGACTCTCAATTACTCTTAATTTATTCATTTTCTTATCTATATATATCTTTAGTTTTGTTTTTTCATTCTCACTTGATAATGACATTCTGGAAACATTGGTGGATTGTGTAGGAAAACCAGCTTGCAAATGAGTAATGCTTATATTTGACAGATTGGAACAGTCTGATTGTTGGTAAAATCTCACCTTGGCTGAACTTGGACTCGCTGAATGAGACTGTAAGAAAAAACTCCGAGAAGGTAAGTGATCTGTGTTGATGATCTGTTTTGATGTCTGATTTTTTGACAGTGTGTCACTAAACTTGGATTTCTCCACTTATGTGATTTTTCTAACTTACATGTCCCCTTATCATAAGTTCTTGTTGAAGCATTATAATTTGTCAAGAAAGTTGAGTCTGTCTTTGTAATCCAACTCAGGCTTTTGATCCTCTTTTCCAATGGTTAATGAAGTGCTTAGTCTCCTCATTAGTCTCTGCAGTAACAGGAGATGTGACCCCCTTTCACAATTGTCCTAAGTTCCATCACCCTCAGGGAAGTATGGTTGCATCTCCCCCAATCTGAAAATTGCTCTTCTCCCAACTTTTCAAACAAAGGTTTTTAACATATTTTGACATGAGTTTTTTACCTTGGAGGTTCAATGGCTTGAGTATCAAAACCTTCAACTGATGATTGCAATGTGGTGATCGCTTAAAGATGGGAAAAAAAATATCTCATGTAAAGGGTGATCAGGGTAACTTGGGACAATCCTGTATGGGGTTCACTTCACCTACGACTGTCTTTGCCCCAGCATTTACCCTGGTCTGTCATCTTTCTCTCCCCTAACTGAGTATTAAGTTTACCTCTTGCAGGCTTTACACCAGGAGCTGTGTTATTCTGTTCATTTGAGTCTTCCAGCTGTTCTTGTTCCATTAAAAAGCTACAACTGTGTAAACCTTGCCCAGCACATCAACACAAGTATAACTGACACACATGTCCAACAGGTTTGTAAACCATTTTACCCAATAAACAGAGACGTCATTCACTTGTCATTGGCATTGAACAAAGAAAAGATCTGAGTCTTGGAATGTAGCCTATGATGATT